CCTCTGGACTGGCAGACCGGGGTGGTGGTCCCTCTTTTCAAGAAGGGGGACCGGAGGGTGTGTTCCAACTATAGGGGGATCACACTCCTCAGCCTCCCCAGGAAAGTCTATGCCAGGGTACTGGAGAGGAGAATTCGACCGATAGTCGAACCTCGGATTCAGGAGGAACAATGCTCCCAAATACATAGATGTTCAAAAATAGGCATTATAAGACAATATAGATGCATTAATATATACTTTTTAACAAATTAATATTCTGACAATCCAACACAGCTGCACTCCTGTAAAGTTTAAGACACTGCAATTGATGCCATATGTGAGGATTCAATGCATCAACCTACACGTAGACACAATTACTATGCTAATTCAGACATGTATAGACGGACAGATTTGGATTGGATGAGGAGGGCCTGCTGTGCATGTGATGTAACAGTTGTTCAAAAAGCCACATGGATGTCCAGTGTGCCTGTTATCAGATCGTCCCCAGAGACGCTGCAGCATTCCTCAGGATTAGGCCATTAGCATCGCTGGGCTTCAAACCTGGTCGTGTTGAACTGGGGTTAGAGACCAGGTCAGACACCCCTGTGCAATGTGGTGATGGGCTTCTCCATTAGTATGGTTATTTGAGCCTGTTCTTAGTTACACAGAAGTCACAATTAAATCAAAGCAATTGCTTCAGCCTGCACAAAATAAGCTTTGCTACTGTGTCATGAGCAGGGTAATGAGCACCAAGTGTTTGCCAGGCCACAATGTTTGTAGCCTTTTAAGGGTGTTTTAGCATCCTAAATTTCCATGGCAACGTATGGGTGTCTTTAATTTAGCAGAAATCACAGGTTAGTAAGTGACTTTCTGCCCTGCCCCAGAGTGTGACAGTAATAGATTCACTTCCCTAAGGGCAGGCGACAGTACAGTGAAGGGTTAGGGGCTCAACACCCACGGAGGCTGCACACAAAGCAAATGCATTTCCAGCAGAGTACTTGAGATGCTGCCATACTTGCAGCACAGTGTGTGACTGTCATCCAGCAAAATGTGCCCCTGTCACTCTTTTAAAAATGGTGGCCTGACCTAGAAACAAAAAGCAGGAGTGGAAAAAGCAGAGCACATCAGAAAACCGGGATTCTTCACTGTAAAGGCATGGAACTGCGTTTACTGCACACTGTGTTTTTCCACTTGGTTATTTCTCTAACAATACCACTCCAGCACAACCCAGAACAACAAACTATGAGTCAGCTGTGAGACCAGGGCACAAAAAATAGTGCATGTGTTTGTGTGTGCATGTATGGAGTCTTTCCGACATCTGTATTCCTCTGTGGAGTGGGCTGAGAGGGAGAGCGGCGTGCAATAGCCCTTTGGGGAATAGACAGGAGATAGGGATAGAGGAAGTCCTTCACTGTCAGTTGTTATAGGAGAAAGCGTACAGTATGTGAGCATGTGGGTTGTTATATGTCTATGTTGAAGACATAGGGTGGGGTTGAGGGTTTTTCCTACAGCTGAGTATGTGGATGTGAGTCAAAGCAAATCTCTGGAGGAAGGGAAAGCCAAGGCGTTTAAGAAGAGTATCCGGTGCTGCTTCTGGCCAAACTCGATCTCATTTTGCAATATATCAAGCAACGTGGTTAACCACAGCTTCCAAAAACACTCAACTCTGGCTGGACAGTCCTACTGTATCTGTGTGTACTCTCAGTGCATGGTCCTGAGCGACTCTGTTTATGTCGGTTTCTTGAAAAGCATTTCCGTTTGATTTCCTGGATCTCTGCCTTTGCTCACATTAACTCTTCAAATGAATCATTCAGAAGCTTAGTATGACATCTGCAAGTTAACTGACCAATCAAAGTGCCTTTTACAATCAGAGTTTCTCACCAAAATGTATTATGTGTATTCTTAAGGCACAACAAAGTGCCAAATTTTTTAAACATATAGTAAACCATACACCGTTCCATCTGCTTTTACTTGCTGGCCGGTTTCTTCTTCACACAGAAAGGCCCCAGTTGGCTGCAAGGTTCAAACCCGGAACCTTCTTGCTGTGAGGCAACAGTGCTAACCACTGCATCATTGTGCCACCCAACCTTTTTAACATGTTCTTTAATGGAAGTGAATGGATCTAAAACCTTAAGCTTAGAACCTTTACATATCACACACTATATGATTTTATCTACTGACTGTCAACACCAACTGACCCAGACTGGACCAGACCTGGTCCAATGTGGCTTCATCAGTCATCACACCCAAATCAACAACTGTGATGGCTGTCCCCACCTTATTTTGTTAAAAATTGTCCAAGTGCATAATGTCAAAACTACACAGTGAAGCTGAATGTGGCTTTATAAATGCATGCTTCAGTAAGTGTTTTTTTTTTTTAGTTTACACACACCACAAGAACTCAAAGCTCAAAGCGAAGGTGTAACATCTGTAATATGTTGGTGCTTACCCCAGCACAATGAGCTCTCCATACTTCACTGGCACTTTGGTGGAGGCGGTGGTGGAGATGTTTTCCTGCTCCGGGGAGTACATTGGGCAGGAGGTGGGGAGACAAGATGGGTGAGATCCAACAGGGTGACAGGAGACAGGAAGGGGAAAAGCAGGGGAAGGAAGGGGAGGGAAGTGCTGATCGAATGGAGCAAGGGGGAAAGGAGGAGAAGGAAGGGGAAGGGTCAGCTGAGCCTCAACTCCACCCTCTCATGCTTCATGTGTCCGGCTCTTGCAGCGCTGGTACTGCCCTGCAGAGTGACAAAGAAAGGATCAAGACAAAGATTAATGTGTTTATGTTGAGCAGGAACAGGAGGAAGCAGGATTCATATGGAACCTGAAACATCCATGTTTTCTATATACAGACTTTTGCACAGTAGATTACAGTTCAGGTTTGTAAAGTGCTCCTTTCAGTTCAAGCCGTACACATGTTATGATGAAGGCCCTTGTTCATTTCTAACTGACTCAGCACTGAGCCTGGATGAGCCTTCTGCATTCTCTGACCACAACACAGTGCAACGTCATCATCCGGGCAGATTACTTCATAGCATGAACACTGTATTTCTAATGTTAACCTCACGGCTGTCGTGGCGAAAGTTAGAGGATGCCACCGTGATAACTTCTCCTCACTGTAAAATCATTTAGATATGGAGTTGTTACTCAAACTGGACCTCCTGGATCACATTTATTCATCCCACCAGTATTGGGGAAAAAAGGCGCCCCCATTAGAAGTCAATGCAATTTTTAACACAGGGTTGACATCGGCCTGAACGCCGCCCTATGGGAGGGAATGTTTAACCAGCTTGCTGTTCCGATGTCTCTGTCCAAGACTGGAAAAACTTGCAAGGGATCAATTTTTTTGTCACCTGTATGGTGAGGGATGAAATCTATAGGGCATCACAGACTAGACAGTGACAACAAGTACAAAGAAAGAGGTGGGACATGTCTGTCAACAGTGGCGTTCACAGTAACTAGGACCACAGTGCTAAGGGGGAAACCATTCTAAACTTCGTACAACAGGAAACAGGACAAACAGGAACAAAACTATCCCTTTAAGCACAGTGGAATGTAATCCAAGATATTTAGGGCCAGTTAAAAGGCTGAAGTTGGTCAGTCCAGTACAAATGCAAAACACACCCCCACACACTTCAAACCTCCAAAAATCTTCCTGAAAAGTTTCAAAGAAAAGGCCTTCATCAGAACAGGGACACGAATGAGGGCGGGCATACATGTGACTTATTCTTCTTGCTGAGTGAGGTGGGCGTCTGTAAATGCTGACTTCAGAGAATGACTCAAACACACACACAAACATACACACAGCTACTTAATACACAGGAAGTCAGAGCAGAGAAAAACAGCATGTGTGAGGAAAAAAAGGCATGAGAAAGAGGAGAGGGTGGGCTTCCTGTTACAAAAAGCTAAGGGACATCTCATGAAGTTTCATCATCGTGGGTTCAAGATCAACTCGTGACCTTGCTTGTATGTAGCTCCAAATTCATTTCTGGGTTTCTATGCATTGCAGCACACTCAAAGCACTTTCATACTCTTTGCCCATTGGTGATATCACCCGGAGCAGTTTTGGGGTTCAGTGTCTTACTCAAGGGCACTTCGACATGTAGACCAGAGAAGCTGGGAATCAAACCACTAACTTTCTGGTTAAGAGATGACCCACACTACCTCCTGAGCCACAGCTGCCCCAGTTACTAGACAAAGGGGCAGAATATCTGAACATATGATAAGCTATCTTTCCAACCAATGACATAATCACATCATCGTCTTATCAAGCAGAATACCGTATTTCTCCTACAATCCCCAGAGTGCCTTTCAGCTAAGACAATGCAGAACCACAGATGAATAAAGCACAGGAAGTGTTTTGAAGATGGGAGGAACAGCGGGGAGGATGACACAGTCCCATTAGGCTGAGTGGGAGAAGTTCACACTGAGGCCTTCCAAGCACATATTCTTTTCAGACACAGACATTATTAAGTATGGATTAAAGAAAATGTTTGTAATACTCTAAAGGATCAAAAGTGTTAATATTACCTGTATTTCACAATAAGAGATGAATGTATTTCATAAAAATATAGCTGATCATTGGTTACTTTAATGGGGGTGGTCTCAGTTTAAGGAAGTGAGTGGAAACACCATTAAAATTATTCAAATGTATCAAAATTACTCATAAAAGAGATCATCTCTGAGGAATGCGGTTTTCTTTATATAAATGGTCTAGAGATAGTTCTAAATTTAATAAACCAAAGAGTCAGACTTTGGAAATGGGTGTCTACTGCATGTTTAAGGCAGGAAGGAAGTCTGCATCCAACATTTTAGTAAAATTACAAAAGCATTAGCAGCCAAAGTTCCCATTATGCAGAACTGCACATTTCAGATTAAATGTATATCATGTTGGATTATAATTACTGATGCTTTCTTGTGTTCATTTCTTTACTGTTGCAGCCGGTAAAGGTGGCGTTAATGTTATTTACCTTACATACTTTAAATACTGCTGGGTAGCTTGTGAATTTCCCACCAAGGATCAGTGAAGTCTGACGATGCTGTGTTTTGTTTTATTAATCTGACTCTGAAAAGTAACTAAAGTTATCAAATAAATGTAGTGCAGTAAAAGTACAAGATTTGAATCTTAAGTCGAGGTATGAAGTAGCAGAAAATGAAAATGCTCAAATAAAGTACTAATGGACCTTTTTCAGTTTCAGTAACCACGAAAAAAAGTCAAAGTAGTCTACCATAACAAAGTTTTAATGGAGTCTTGCATTACGTTATCTGTTGGAAAAAGAATGCAGAGCTTCCCAGTTTGATCTTGTGTAGCAAAACTATCTTACTTAAAAAATTATCTGATGAAAGCTGAAGAAAGACTCGACTAACTGGTGAAATGTTGGGTAACATGACCAGCACTCTGAGCAACACCAGTACTGTGACAGAAAGAAAACATCACATATGAAAGTGAGGAAATAAGGGTAACACATTTATCCACCACCCAAAAGGAATGATGCACCTGCAATTACAGGATGCTCTAAAATTACAAATTAGCCAGCTATAAAAAAAAATATGGCAGTGAATCCTGTGACAGAAATCTTACAGATGAGAGGTCACATGTTCACACTCCAGTTTAGTCTTTTCTACCTGCTAATTAAAAGCCTATCTGCTCATACATCCTTACAATTAAACAAGATGTTTCATAGCCTCACACTTGAAGATGTAACACTTTGAGTTTTAACCCACATCCTGACATCTCGCTCCCAAGGTGTTAACGGTGTGTTAATAATAGATCTAGTATATTAAGTGCATCACACCACAACATCAGTATGGTTGTGAACTATTAACAATGCTGAATTATCAGTTTATTTCTGTCTCAACTCTTCTATGTATTTTCAAGAGCTCAACAAAAAAAAACAAACAGCTGCCTTTCTACAACATCTCACTCAGTCTTCGCAGGAACTTTTCTGAGCGGCAGCTTTATTTTCTTTAACTTAACCCTTGATTTCTCTTCTTCATTCTCTAGGAATTAAATGGTGGCAGTTGTTAAAATTAAGCAAACCATGCATTTTCTAATGTGAATTCTGTATTTTGAACCGTTGTAATAACTGAGGACTGAGTGAAGGAACTGTTTATAATTGGCATGTTTAGTACATGTATTAAACTAAAGGGTGTGCATATAATACTTTAGGTGTGTGAGTGCCTGACTAAGCACTTGGCCTTTGCAGCTCTGTATGACACAGAACACGGTGTGGCTGCGTGCCAGCTGCTGCTTAGCTACCGAGACACACAGTCATACAACAAAAGACCCAGAGCTGGCTGAGTCTGACTTTGCTGCCTGGGGTCACCGACAGTAAGTGTTCTGCTGACAGCAGGAACAACAGCACTCACACTTACAAAGGTCCTCGTGAAACTCTAGTCTTCATGTTAACACGGAAGCGGGTCTAACAGCCGCACTTCTCTTTTTAAATGTCAAACTGTCCTATGCCAAAGAGCAACACCTAGCCATACCATAGGAAAGCCTGCATCAATCCACCATGTCACACCCAGAGTTCTCTGCAGGGGCCGAACTCTGCACATGTTGAGTTAAAAGGTGTGTAATCCTTGAAAAGGCTAGTACCATGATAAGTCAAAGGATGACACGCTTTCATGATCACAAAGAATGGCTCTCCGGAAACAATTTAACCAGAGGCAGTTTTTCAGGGTATGAAGAACTAACATAAACAAAGATGAAATCAGAGAAGGAACTATTCCATAATAACAGCCAGACTCTTAACTGCAAAAGCATTTCGCTCCAAAAGTGTGACAATGATAGTGGGTGAATGTGAATAATTTTTTTAGTTGCACTGGTGACTGACTCTTTTCTGGCATGTGGGCTGGCAAAAAACAGATTCGCTAAGTTCCGACTGTATAAAATCTGTTAACTCTCTTCTGTTATTAGTAAAGACATACAAAACAAAACATTCAGCTGGGTGCCTTCTCATTTTCATTTTCTCTGGTTAAAATAACAAATGCCTCTGGCAGCAGGTCATACATCGCTTGTCACAAATCAACGTTCATTCCATGAGTAACCTGACGGCAGACCAGTGTTAAACTTGGCTGTCGTCGCTTCTTTGTTCTCTGCAAGCCACCGCCTGTACTCTGCCGCAGGCTGTTTATGAGGTAAACAAATCATCACTATGTAACATCACAATACAACTCCAAGCAGACACAGTGTTTCTGTTGTTCAATACCGTATGCAGAGTAATATGTCGTTTCTTTGTACCATATCAATTTCAGGAGCAGCATTTTTCCCACGAAACCTTCAGTATCGTCAATAATTTAGGCTTATGAGGAGCTTCAGTATTTGAACCAGTGCACTCATCACCACAGCTACACCTGTTATTTAGATGTGTCAGATACATAATTAACCAACATTTAGGTAAATATAATCGTTTCTTTGTACCAAGTATCTACCAAAAATTAAAAGGTTTGGATTTGAATCAAAGCCAAAAAAACTTAAAGTAATAAGGATATTCTAATACTGTGTAAGGCAGTTACTATTCATTGCAGTAAAGGTACTTAGACACGTTGGTTGCAAGCTTTTGATATAAACTTAATTACAATAGATTAACATTTTATGCAGAGAACAGATGCTAAATGAAATAAATAACAACAAAAACAGGAGACACAAATATGTAGAAATAAAAACGTCATCAAATTCTGCACAAGAAGACAACTCGTATCAGACACCAGATAAGGAATGAACACAACAGAAAAG